CTCTCTGTCCCAAAAATAAATAAACGTTGAAAAAAAAAATTAAAAAAAAAATAATTTGAGTTACTTACTTAATACCTGATAAAAGCATATTAAAGAAAACAAAGAGATGTGTTTTGGAGCACTGTGTGATTAGTTCCTTATTACACTTGAGAACTAAACATACTTCAGTTTCCTGGAAGGGATGGCAAAATGGGCTATAATATCTTAATTCTCTGATAAAAGAAGCTGTTTTAGTTCTTCCAGCTGAGGGCATTCACTTTTTCCCGATACTGAATCCAAGGTAAAAATTTCCTGGATTATGTAATGCAAATTGTTTCAGGCTGTAGCTTTACTTAAAACTTTTTTTAACACATTGATTTAATTTTATTTTATCTTTTAAGTTTACTTATTTATTTTGAGAGAGAATAAGAGAGAGAGAGAGAGAGTACCTTCAGTCATGAGTTGGGGTGGAGCAGAGAGAATACTGAGCAGGCTCTGTGCTGTCAGCTTGGAGCCTGATGCAGGGCTCGAACTCATAAAGTGTGAGATCATGTCTTGAGCTGAGATCAAGAGTCGGATACTTAACTAGACTGAGCCACCCAGGCACCCCTAAAGTTAACTTTTCTTACAAAGCTTACTTATTAGTTATTATAGCTGTCTGATAGGTCTTGATATCTGCAGTATAAGTCCTAGCTCTTTTCTTTTTAAAGATTGCCTGGGTTTTTCTTGGCCTTTTTGCATTTGCATAAGTTTAGAGTCAACATGTCAGTTTTTGCAAATTAAGAAAAAACAAAATCTGATTGGAATCATGTTGCAACTACAGATCAATTTGAGGATAATTGATGTCTTTACAACAGTAAGAAATGTTGAATCTTCCAATCCATGAACATGGAATATCTTTCCATTTATTTGAGTCTTTTAAAAATTTCTCTCAGTAATGTTTATAAAGTTTTTGGTCAGGATATCGCATATCTTTTGTTAAATTTATCTGTAGGCCTTCAGGTTTAGTTTTGAAACTATTATAAATGGTATATTTGATTAATTATTATTATTATTTTTAAAATATTTTATTTTTAAGTAATCTCTACACTCAATATGGGGTGTGAACCTACAATTCCAATATCAAGTGTTGCACACTCCAGTGACTGAGCCAGCAAGGCATCCCAGTCTTTTCTTTTAATTGTTAAGTTTTTTTATTCAAGTGTAGTTGACATACAGTATTATATTAGGCACAAAACATAGTGATTTAACATTTATATACATTATGAGTTGATCCTCACAACACATCTAGTATCTTCTGTCACCATAGAAAGTTGTTACCTATGATTAACTATACTCTCTATGCTGTACATTGTATCCTCATGTCCTATTTATTTTATAACTGGGCTTTTATACTTTTTAATCCCTTCCCCTGTTTTGCCCATCCCTATACTCTCCCCTCTGGCAGATACCAGATTGTTCTCTGTTACCATTTTTAGCATCACGTTTGCTTTAGATTTCCCCTCCTCCTCCCCCTCTTCCTCCTCCTCCTCCTCCTCCTCCTCCTCTCCCTACTCATCCTTGTCCTCATCCTCGTCCTCGTCCTCCTCCTCCTCCTCCTTCTTCTTTTTCTTTAATTTAAATTCAAGTTAGTTAACATACAGTGTAGTCTTGGTTTCAGGATTAGAACCCAGGGATTCATCTCTTACATGTGACACCCAGTGCTCATCCCAACAGGTGCCCTATTTAATGCCCATCACCCATTTAACCCATCCTCCCACCCACCGCCCCTCCAGCAACGCTCAGCTTGTTCTCTGTATTTAAGAATCTTTTATGGTTTGCCTCCCTCTCTGTTTTTATCTTATTTTTACTCCCCTTCCCCTATGTTCATCTGTTGTGTTTCTCAAATCACACATACAAGTATATGAGTGAAATCATATGATGTCTGTTTTTTCTCTGACTTATTTTGCTTAGTTTTTAAGCTTTCATTTTCTGTTTTTGCTGGTATATAGAAATGCAGTTGATTTTGTATATTGATTTCTTATTTAAATATCTTGCTAAATTCACTAATTAGGGTTTGAATAGTTGACTATAGATTATTTTTGATTTTCTATGTATATAATCATGTTATCTGAAAATAATGACAGTTTCATTTCTTTCTTTCCAGTCCTTATATGTCTTTTATTTCTTTTTCATGCCTTATTATATTGGCTAGGACCTCAAATTGAAAAGAAGTAGTTATAGCAGTAATCATTTTCCCCTTCTCATCTGGAAAATGTTTAATAATTCACCATTAAATATGAAATTCCTACAGGTATTTTTGCAGATACCTCTATCAGGTTATCTTAATGGTGCTTTTGATGAATAAGCATGTTCCAATCTATCAATTTTTTTCTTTATGAGTGATACATTGTACATCCTATTTCAGACATCTTCCCATGATAAGGTCATAACAATATTTTCCCATATTACCTCTACAAGAGTTTTTAATTCTAAAAATTAAGTACTCATATATGCGTTATTCTGTTTTAGATTTATATTCTGTTCCATTGGTCTACTTAGGTATTCCTGTGCCAATATCCCACTGTGCTGATTAATATCACTGTATGAAAAATCTTGATGTTTAGCAGATAAGGTCCTCCTAATATTTCCTTCTATAATGAGTGTCATGGCCATTCCTGGCCCTCTATAACTTTTTAAATTAAAAAAAAATTTTTTTTTTATTTTAGAGAGAGAGAGCAAGCAGGGGAGAGGGGTAGAGGGAAAGAGAGAGAGAGAATATCCCAAGCAGGCCCCATGCTCAATAAGGAGCCCAACGCAGGGCTTGATCCCATGATCCTGGGATCATGACCTGCCCCGAAATCAAGAGTTGGATGCTCAACCAACTGAGCAACCCAGGTGTCCCTACATTTAAAAAAAATTTTTTTTAATGTTTATTTATTTTTGAGAGAGAGAGACAGACAGAGCATGAGTGGGGGAGGAGCAGAGAGACAGGGAGGCACAGAATCTGAAATAGGTTCCAGGCTCTGAGCTGTCAGCACAGAGCCTGATGTGGGTCTCAAACCCATGAACTCTGAAACCATGACCTGAGCCAAAGTCAGACACTGAACTGATTGAACCATGTAGGCCCCCCCCTTCATTTTTATATACATTTTAGAGTCAGCTTGTCAGTTTCTACACACACACACACACACACACACACACACACACAAACAACAAAAAAACCTGTCAGATTTTAATTGCATTTGCACTGAATCTGCGTATTAATCTGAAAGAAGGTTAATATCTTTACACAATGTTGATTCTTCTAGTACATGAACACAATTTATCTTTCCATTTTATCACTTCTTTAAAGTGTTTTATAGCTATCTGGGTATGCATTTTATATGTCTTTTGTATTATAAAGAATATTATTAAATTATTAGATTTACTCCTAGGTATTTACTTTTGCTTTCATTTATGTTAATACTGCTGTATAGCAATATGTTTGATTTTAGTTTCTTGATCTTGTGCTCAGTTAATGAATACAGTAATTCAGTAATTCTAATAATTTATAGATTCTTTTAGATTTTCTACATCTACAATCATATCTTATACAAGTAATGACAGTTTCCTTTCCAAACTAGTTATTGATTTTCATTTTCTTGCCTTTCTTCATTGGACCTCCAGTACAGTGTTGAATGCAAGTGGAGATGGTTGGCATCCTTATCTGATGCCCAATATGAGAGGAAAAGTCTTCAACATTTTACTGTTAGGTATGCTGTTTGCTATAGATTTAAACAAGCAAACAAACTAATAGACTTTGTTTTTTAGAGAAGTTTTAGGTTTAAATAAAAATCAAGCAGAACCTGGAAAGCACTCCCATGTATATTCCCTTCCCCTAATATCCCCAGATTCCCCTATTGTTGACATCTTGCCTTGGTGTGGTATATGTGTTACCATTGATGAGCCAATATTTATATATTATTACTACCTAAAGTCCGTAATTTACACTAGGATTCACTCTGTGTTGTAGAATTCTATGGGTTTTGACAAATGCATAAAGTCATGTATCTACCATTATAGTATCATACAGACTAGTTTCCCTACCCTTAAAATACCACATTCCATCTTCTTCCCTCCCCACTTCTCTCAACACTTAGCAACTAGTAATCTTTTTACTGTCCCTATACTTTCTCCTTTTTCAAGATGTCATGTAATTGGAATCCTAGAGTATGTAGCCTTTTCAGACTTGCTTTTTCCTCATAGTAATATATATTTAAAGTTTCTTCAGGTCTTTTGGTGGCTTGATAGCTCATTTTTTTCATCACTGAATGATATGCTGTTGTATGTATGTACTATGGTTTGTTTATCCATTCATTTATTGGAGGATACCTTGGTTACTTTCAGTTTTTGGCAAATATAAATAAGACTGCTGTTAACATTTGTGGGCAGATTTTGTGTGGACATAAGTTATTGATAGATTTTTTTAAAAATGTTTATTTT